CAATTTCAATAGCCGGATCTCACGTTCGGCCTCTGCGCGTGAGTGCGGATCCGAGGAGACGGCCTAAGGAGAAGGGCGCTCAATGCCCGAAGAAGAAAGCGATAACTCAGGTTGGTTAAATTGCCTTGCAAAGTGTTCAGGCCAACGCTCCAAGCGTTTTGACAATCTGTGGATCGGATGTGCACTCCAGTCGCGTATAGTCTCGCTAACACCAGGTCTCCTGCTGCCTGTTTCCCGTATCATACGGAATAACTTACGATGATTACCCACGGCAGCGGCTGTTTCCATCTCAGAGGCACTATGAGACCACCAGGTTTCGCGGTCCTTCTTCAGGCTAGCACATAGTTTTGCCCTGAGATTTTTGCGAGCCTCATTGTATTCGCTTCCAGCCGGAATACGTCGGCGAGCATCCATAAGTTCCATAGACTGTGTAGAGACCCAATGTCCCGTTTGGCAATTTGCTTTGCCACATGAAGACATGCCTGCGGACAGTAACGTTTGACGAATATGCGACCAGTGAACTTCAACGGTGTTTAGTGGGCGCTTACTCAGCCCAGATGTCAGCGCACTATGGTATACATTCAGAACATCTGGCTTCGCCAGCTGGCTGGTGTCAATCCGTTCACATGGACGTTGCGGACGTCCACCGAAACGCACCAGGAGGTAGGCACAGACAAGTGCGTGGTCAGAGTCCACGCTCGTGCTCCAAATTGAGCGACAATTTTGGACACATCCCCTCCAGCGATAACTGATCGCGATATGATCGATTTATGTCCATGGTTGTCCCGAGGCTGATGGCCGCCAAGTCACGCTTCTGCGGGTGCTGTGTCGAAAGTTAGTGCTCGCGAGAAAGAGGCGAGTATCTTCACACAGATGTGGCAATCGCTCACCATTATCATTACGGGAGCCTACACCATGTTGGCCGCCCAGATGAAGCTCATCAGAGGACAACTTTCCGACTTGGGCGTTTAGATCACCAGCCAACACCACAGTATCCGTGCTTCTTCTGTAACGAAGGAGCTCGTGAAGTTGCTGATAAAAATCATCTTTTACCGAATCGGTGCTGCAGTTTGTAGGGGCGTAAGCCGCAATGACAAACAGGCACCGTTTGTCCCCGAGCGACTTCGTAGTACGGAAGGAATCAGCTAATCTAACGGCACACGTCCTACTGTTTACTGGGATCCAATCAATCAGGTCAGCTTCAGCCCGGGGACTCAAAACAATGCTGACGCCAGCTTGACCGACATTTGAAGCTGCATCATCGCCAGACATGCGCAATGAGAATGTGCCGCCAGTGTCGCATGTGGGGGATCTCAGATTAAGCACGGAGCTCAAATCTTGCAGGCGGGTTTCTGATCAGCAGCAAATATCGATCGATAGGGTCTCTAGTGTGCGGGCAAGTGCTGCCTGTTGGCCAATCTGCAACAAGGTGCGCACGTTGAGGCATGCCAATCTTAACGAGACGCGAGGACTCCAAAGGGAAACGGATGAACTGACGTTGTCCGCTTGGTTGAACATGCACTTGTTGACTGGATTAGAGCGAGGCCCTGTGGTTGTGTGTGATTTGAAATTAGAAGACAAGCGACTATTAAAGTAAGCTGGGGGAGGGCCAAGAATTGGGGGATTGAAACTGGGGGGGATATAAGTAAAGTTGGAGCAGGACGATAAGGATGAAAAAGCGCAAGAAGGGGTATAAGAAGACGGGAAGGCCTGAGCAGTAGCATCCAAACCCCTATCCACCCTGCTCGATGCAGCAGATAGGGCGCCGTTGATTATCCTCTGCGACGGCCAGAGCATCAAGAAAGTATTGTAGGAAAGGTCCATTGTATTGCGTGGACAGAATACTGTCAGGTTGCCCAGGCCTAGACAGGAGAACGATTCGGGTCCTCAACCAAAGCCTTTGGTTCAAAAACCTTATCGCAAGGCAGCGGGTTTTGGCACTGGACTACAGAGCCCGTTTTATGAAATGATGAGCCACCCCCATTCCAACCCCCAACCTGGAGGACCAGGAGGCTGAGTTTGTCTGGCCTCTAACCATTGACCACTCTGGCATGAGTGGCTCTGAAGGTGCAAAAATTGCACCACCCAGCATAGCTCAATGGATACATGAAGCACGCAAACCATCGCACCACGGTAAGGTCCAGCCTCTACAGAGGATCGAACCGATGACTGCTAGTGGCTTGTGCCAACTAGCCAGCAGCTTATGAAACTGAGCCATGGAGGACGGTAGCCGACCATCACGAATTGTTAGGTAACTGCGATATAGTCCGACCCATCCTTCACTGCCATGCAGATGACAGCGGTTGGCCTTCAGGCTTTAGGACTTCCCGGTTACGGCAGCTATGAATGGACATAGCATTCATGGGATCCGTAAGGGCGAATTTGTGTTACTTGTGAGTAGAAGGACTTTTGCGAGTATTTTTGTTCGTTGCAGTCAGCCGACAGTTCAAATTAGTCAACTAACTATCCGGAATGTTATTTGTTCTTTCTGTTCAGTGGAGAGTAGATATTAAATGATATCGGCCATAAGCCCCGCTCCGCCCTTACGCGAATCTGCGCGACCGCCCACTTGCGAGTCTGTTAGGTCAGACCAAAGTCAAATGCGCACAGAAACGAAACAAGTTGACATTTTCGGGAAGTGCGCAATTTCCCCAAGTAACCGTGTGCCTTGTATCAGAACAGTCTCAGTTACAATCAGACCAGCGTTTTTCTGTGTGGCAGAACATTTGTCACAATCGCTTGTTTCATAGCACTCACATGTCCCGTGATTCATTGAGATCGATAAATTCAAATTAGCACTCCGCCGTGATTTGAACTGTAATCAGAGTGTTTCATACCCACGTCGGCCCGTGTAGTGTTTCGCAAATATACTTCTCGTCCGCTGGGTTGCCTTTTGACTCGCGTGGCGCCAACTAAGTAGCTGTTAAGTCGAACCCTGGGGACACAACAGGCTCTTACATACAACGCGAAGCTTTGTCCTTCATGACCGTCAGAGCAACTCATCAGTCAGTTCGGCCTCTCACGTCGGTTGTCAGTTTATCTGCGATTGAGGTGACATTTACATAGACAGGACTGACCGTCCGTTAGCTCAGATGGTAGCCGAACATGTGCCGAAGTGGTCGGGACAACCGATGACGCAACAAAATGGGATGGATCCGAGGATGAACAGTAACCCAGCATTATCTATCACAAAGCATCTATTGGCAGCTCGACATCAGATAAGCCTGGAGTCTACGTTCAAGGTGTTATTACGCAACAACAATTCGATAATTTTGGCACTTAGTGGGGCTTTGCTATTTAGGGTTTATCAAGCTGTGTTGTGTGCACAGAAATTCTTGAGACAATCAATTAGGTTGTCGTGGTCTTGCTTTTGACATTTTGATTGGTGTGCCAATTTTCCCCTGCATATAACTGTCTATGTATTCCGCTTGTATTGTGTTTGTGATTGATGAGAACAATCGAAATGACGACATATCGTAACTTATGTGATCTCACAGCTCTGACGCAATGGCTGAAGGGGACCCACTGTTGTATCTTTCTGAACATGTAACTTAACATGTATCACCATGTTTTCTGTTGCTTCGATTTCGAGGTTATATTGCTATCCGGAAGCCATTTGGATGTGCTGATACTTTTGCTTTTGCCGCAAGCACACGCTGCGCCCGTGAATTTAACATGCGCCGAAGTGGGGAGACCTTCAATCCTTCCGGGTCTTGAGCATTGTTATGCAAGGTCGTCGATTACTAATACTAGACTGAGCATTTCATTTTCTGTAGAATGAACCTGGAAATTCAAATGTTTTTGCTCGCTCTTCCCTCGACTTTTCGCACGAACAGAATCGCACTGAGCGCGACATGTCAGTTCGATTTAGGACTGTTTGGTGCCGATGTATACAATTTTATGGAGGGATTCATTACTATGGGTAGGTACTGGGTCCATCACCATCAGCGTAAAACAATGGGACAGTCCAACTCACAGCAAGATGTCGAATCTCCACTACCGGAGAAGACCAAGGTCAATCCTTCGGTTGGGAACGTGAAAGCTTCAGTGTTTTGTAACGCTCGAGGTTTGATGATGATGGCTTCCTTTTATAGAGTTCCTAATCATTGGAACGTATTACTCTGTCCTGTTGCCGTCTTTCAGACAAAAGCTGGAAATAAAGATCCGAAACGATGACCAGCGGTATCCTGTTCCATCATTACGACATTCCAGCCCACATTTTAAGAGTTACCATGGCAACCCTCCGTGCTTCTGGACCCACCTACCAAATCCACCAGTCCTGCCCCCAGTGACTTCCACCTTTTTCTCAAGTTGAAAAAGCTGCTTGTCGATGTTTACTCTGCGTCGATAATGTCATGTATACCGTTGAGGAGTTCTTGGGTTCGCAACATGTAAAGTTCTTTCTCACTGTAATCTAGGCGCTTTAGCACCGCTTGCGCAACTTTGTTGACCTTTGAATGTATTACGTTAAAAAGTAATAACACAACGAACACGTAACTTTATTTGTTTCTGCCATGCTCAAAACTTCCCATTCACTTCTCCTACTTTGGAATCAGATACGCGTAAGACAGGTAGTTCGACCTGGAAATGATTGGAAGCGTGTCATGGGCTGATTGCGATCCATATCCCCTAAAGTCGCGTCACGCGCTAGGTGGTTCGCTTGCACTACAGCTTGATAGGCAAGACGGGAACTAACAGCTGTTATGCCTGGAAAACTTTTGCCCCCCTCGAGTCTTGCGCCGCTCCACGTCCGGCAAACAACACAACGCTCTACTGAGTAGGTGTTGTTTGGGCATATGGAATGTTCAGCGTCATTTTTTTATTCTAAACAGCTAACCTGACTGCCCCACAAAGACATTTTTTAACTCGGTCCCGAATCGGCATTATTGGGGCCCTCATATTACATGTTCTCAGGTGTTTTACACTTTAACCGTTTGCAGCTAAGGACTGATGCTTACTTCTCATGCTTCCACAACAATTTTCATCTCCGCCCTTCACAGATAACCTGTCTATCGAGTGCTTCTATCGGTACCTCATGTCGGACAGCAACGCTTGTGTTTTCCTCGACCGGTTGGATGTGTATCAGGAAATGGACCAACCTTTGAGTCACTACTATATCAATTCCTCACACAACACCTACCTGATTGGACGGCAGTTTGGCGGCAAGTCTTCTGTCGAAATGTACCGACAAGTGTTGCTTGCTGGTTGCCGGTATGTCCTTTTTCTTCCTTCTGGGCTAAACTATGCTTTGTGTCCTTTTTTCCCTAATCATTGGTAGCGCTTTCCGAAAGTATGAGCATGGAATTTTTTTTACATCACCACTGTGCTTAAAGGTTGCGGCTGCTTTTGCCCTGCCTGTACCATCTCAACTGGTATCTTTTATCTTCCACCACTCGCAGTTGCATCGAACTTGACTGTTGGGATGGTCGTGGTGAGGATCAGGAGCCGATTATCACGCACGGGAAGGCAATGTGTACAGATATTCTATTTAAAGTGAGTTTCCCCGGTCTCCTTTTATCGTTTCCATTTCATTATGGCCTCATTCCATCTAACTACCAGTAAGTATTCAGCTCGCTGCCGGTCATTTGCAACGTTTATCTTTTTGTGATTTATACACGTAGCCAATCATGGCTGCTTTTAAGTCCAAGCTGGGGTGTCTGCTCGGTGTGCTCACTAAACCGAAGTGATTTTTCTACACAATCGACTAGATTTTTTCTTGGACTTTTTGCCCTCACCTATTTGCCTATTCGCTTCCTCTAAGTATTGCTGATGTTTCACCGAGGCATTGCAAGGGACCCACCTACGGTGAAGTGGTATGGTCCTTTGCATTTCGGCTGATCGGACATTTCAGTGTCTTGTTGCCGCAAAGCCTAGTCGGTTGAGCCCCCCTAGGTAACTAAGTGTTGACTTGACAAAACGATGTAGGCAAATTAAGAACTGTGGTCCGCATTGCCCCTCATTATGATTTGCGTCTTTGTTACCACTGATACCTACGATTATATGCTCAGTTGACGTGCCCCTTGCTGAGGCTGATGTTGCATTCAAGATGCTTCTTCACCGCAGTTGGGCTAAACCAACTTACACTTAAACTAAGTCTTTTTAATGTGGATAGAATTCATTACATGTTATTTGGTTTGTTCTGCGTACTTGATAATCTTCTCCTTACTTGCACACCTCGCTCACGCAAATTGTGGTGAACTTGCGTAATTTTTATCGCGTGGTGTTTTTGAAATAACTTTCGGACATTTTGTACTTATCACGGATTCACTTATAACCAATTTTTTCTATATGCTCATTTAACGAGTGTTTATGTCATCATATGCGTTTACTTTAATCGATATCGGCATTTCGAATGTTTGGCTGTTGTTTGACATCCCAGGTGTGGCTGCGCTTGATATGCATGTTGACAAGGTGCCTACCTGTCTATTACCCATTACTTCGTCCATACTGGCTCCAGGAGACAGTTGGTCGTTGCTGGAGAGGACGGGGTACACGGTACTTGTGGTCGTACTATGCTCGAAGAGTGGTTCCATGCACTCAATGTGGAGCGGACTATGGTCCAGCCACCGCCTTGTGTGCACTTGATTCCCCAACTACAGCGTGCTTGTGTTTGTCTGTGAAGGAGTGTGGGCCGGCTCCGTTGATGAAACGTGGTTCTCATCCGCATGCCTCCCGGTCTTATTCCTTCGGGTTTACACTGGATATGGGGTGTGTGGATGGAGCTGTGGGTGGTGCAGCGGAAGCCACCTAAGGTTCCATCTGTAGGCGCAATCGTCCTGTGGCTGGCCACAGTGACAGGCAAATCCGAAACCGGATGCCGCCAACCATGACATGCAATTGTCGGTGGTGCGCTAACATTCTTTCCCTTCTCTGTGTTTTTACTTCTTATATCAGTTTTTTTCAGGTTTTCTTCTCTGCTTCTATCCGGTTTTCACCTTCTGGCTCTTTTTCTTTAATGTTCTCATGCTAATGTGAATCGTACTACCTGAATCTACGGTACTTTGGCGCCACGAATTACCCCTCATCATATGTACGCGGAGCTCATAGTGTAACTTCCGTCGCTGATTTTTACTGTGGCTTTGTTCACCATTCCGTTGTTTTTGGAATTCCAGTGTACAATACTACATCAAATAGTCAATTTTTCTGTACACAAATCCGGTATACGCATAAGCGATCGATTCCTTGTAAGCATTCACATTCTCGCATCACTGTAATCTCGGCCGTGAAAACGTCGCCCTCTTACTCCTGTCGTCTAGCTTCCAAACTAGGTTGCCATTACATACGGTGTACGAGCCTACGTCACATGGATATCTGCACGACGACAAGAAATCTCGATTATTATCTCGTGTGTAGAAAGTAATTCGTTGTTGGTCACATTTATTGCCCTTCGTATCACTCATTTGGCGTGCGTGTTTTACTCATCGCTGCTGGGCTATGAATACCTGTTTTACCGAACAAACCAAAACTCCTGTTCTGGGACTCAGGCCAGTGCAGTGCATGTCCTGTGTTACATTACCGTTTAGGGCCGACCAATAAGTTCGGAGTACGCGAATGAATTGCCTACCTACGGTTCTAAATAGACTGCTGACCAGCGCTGGGTTGATGATAGGGGGCGCCAAGTGGCGTACTGGCCTCCAGAATGACGAAAGCTGGTTCTGGAGAGGAATAGTTGATGATCAGCACACAGACTGAGCAGTCTCTCTCTGTTGTCTGAGCGAACATCATCATATCCACGCGGTCCCCCAAGATAGTGCTCACATGGCAGCAGACGACCGACACGCGCGTTGAAGTCACCTGTCAAAACAATGATGTCTGTTTTAGGAGCCCTTAGGAGCAGCTCATGAAGTTTCTGGTAGAACTGGTCTTTGACTGTGTCCGAGCTACAGTTATTGGGCGTGTAGGCAAAGAGCACCTTTTTCGACTCGACGTCTGCTAACTTGGCAAGATCCATGGAGCCTCATCGCACAAAGGCGGCTATTGATCGGAATCCAATCAATCAAAGCAGTCTCGGCTCTAGCGCTGAGGGCGATTCCAACACCAGCTTGCCCAGATGCGGCAGACTCGGCGTCACCAGAGAGGCGTAGATGACAGCGGGTGCGTGGGTGGAGCGGTGACGCCAGCTGGTAGACGGAGTTAAAGTCCTGTAGTCGTGTTTCATTCAGGTTGCAGATATCAGTTCCAAGGGTCTCTAACGTGCGTGCAACTCCAGCTTGCTGTCCGATCTGCAGTAATATGCGTATGTTGAAGGCTGCAAGTTTGAACTGCGTTCCGGGTTGCAAAAGCGAAAATGGCAGACTTTGAGGTTGGCAGCTCAGTTGAGCACTCTGTGGTTGAGTTGTCAGATATCACGGGAACAGGTACATCAGTGTAGGTGGGGTTGATCATCATAGAGGAATCAGGTAAAATGGGTGTGAATTGTACAAGGGAAGGGTAGGTAAAGTGGTGGCGTGTGCTTGTGCATTTGGCATAGTAACGTGCGTGGATAGCATCGTAGCAGCAAGAGAACGTGTGAATGGTTGTAGTTGTATGTCCATGGTTCGTCCGTAGGCGAGATACTACCCGGTTGCCTAGGCCGAGATAAGTAGGTTGTCTTAGGGGGCCCCACCCCGAGCCTTTGATCAAGGATCTAACCTACAAGGCAGCAGGACGATATGAGGGCATCGCAACCCTTTGAGAGCCGGGGACCAAACAACTGGTTCATACGCCTTTAGGACTACAAAGGACCAGGCGCCCAACACACACTTGAATTACAACGCCACTCAGAGTGAGGCAAGGGGCGGTGACTTTATTTAGTGGCGATTCACATCCGCCACGTCAGTGTTGTTAAACGGACATATGTGACCTTTTATAGGGAGAACGCTTGCCAGGCCTAAACCCACCTCGTTCTGGAACACTGCCGCCGAACCATTTGCTGGAACGGGATAATTCCGAACCACCCAGCTGGCACCAGGAGGAGGTTGTTCGGCAAGCCAACAGACGAACATGAAGGAGCTTGGGATAAATCAGCGTGAAAGGTGTGAAAAGGGTCATTTAAATGCTTTGTGCAAAATGGTCACATGTACCGAAGCCCTTAATAACGATGGAGTCAACCGGAGTTTCTCTGTGCAATCCACTACACCTGCAAATGAGCTTAATGGAACGCACAATCATTGTAAAGTCTTTTTGTAGAAGACCAGAAAAATGCTAGGTGAGCATTATGCCCAATGGGGAAGAATGCAAGCAGTCACGAGTTTGTAAATTAAAGAGCAGGGTACTAAAATCAGTTTGGCTTTCAGAGCATAGGATAATAATTTTCGAACCTCGTGGAACATTTCGTCAACGTTTGTTGACCAAGAATGGTCGTGAGATACATATACACCATAGTAATTAACGGTGGATGATCTGGGTATTTTGTGGTCGCTTACGACCACGGGGCTGGAACTGTTTGCCTTTGTTAGTGCGGATAAAAGAGAAAGTTACATCGCAGCATTTATAAGCGTTAAGAATAATGGATCCGGACGACGACCGCTATTGAAGATCGTTCAGCTGGATTTGGAGAGCGGTAGATGATTCAGCAGTTGAAGCAATGCTGTCTACGACTACATCGTCAGCGTACTTACATCCAATGAAATTGGGGAGACTTGGAGGCGTTTCGATGTATAGAGAGAATAGAAGAGATGAGAGGATTGCTCAGTGTAAGACGCCCCAGTCATCACTATGAGTGGAGGACTTTTACCGTTCACCTGGGTTAAATGAGATTGGTTTACGAAGTGGTTGCTCAACAGGTTGCACAGTGTTGCTTAAACGCCATCCACAGACAGCTGATTAAGCCTGATCGATCTGTCGACACCTCCAAATGAGTTGGTGTAACCAAGGAAGAGTGGCCGCATTTCGCATTCAATGAGGATGCTATAGAGTGAACGAGGTATGCTACGTCATCCAAATTGGAACTTTGGGTTCTGTACGCAAACTGAGACACGTCCACGACCGGATTACTTATTGAAATCCAGGGCATAGATAGCCGCTCGAAGAGTTTCAGCATGACGGATGTACAGGCGATCGGACGGGATTTTGTACATCTCCTTTTTGGCACGGACCTTATCTCGACAGGTCTCCAAATGTCGGGAATACTTTCACTGTGTGGGCACCGATTAAAAAGATCCGTCAAATGCATGATGAGGGTATTGACACACTCTCTCAAGACAACTGATGAAAGAGCACGGGTTCCATTAGCCTCACTGGACTTCTGATTTCTGCTCTCACGGTTGTCGTCAACGTGTTGGAATGTCACCTTTTGGACCAGAGCCGCTGAACGAACTCAGAGAGAATGAAGAGGTGGAGGATGCTTCCTGTGACGAAGAACAGAACTGGATTTAGTTTTTCTACATCTACAGATCCAGTCTGCTTATTGGAGCTTTTACCGCACGGCTACCTTAAAAGTCACTATAAGTCTCGGTGATTGTGATTGCGCTTTTCGGCTTCGATGTGTAAATTATTCAGTCGTGAAATAACTT